AAGAGCCCCCTGGTCCAAAGTGATCTCACCACCACTCCTGAGCCCTAACAATTCATTTCTCACTATTCGGTCAACTTCATTTTGCTTCACCACTTGGCCTCCAGACGCTTCCTGTACACGTTAGTCCTGATACTGCCTGAGATGTTTTCCATTCTCTCCTCTTCATTCTATGCCTTCCTTTTGTTGATAACTGCATGCTGTTTTTCTTATTCTGAGAACATTCCTTACCGCCTTATTTTAAATTGTACCTGCCCCATCCACATTCCACGTTTGTTTCCCTTTACAGGTAATTGTACCTAACATTTTGAGTATTTGGCTTGTGTCTTTGTTTCTTCTCTGCCCCTGCCCCCCATCATGTGAGCTCTGTGAACACAGGATTTTTACTTTGCTCAGTGTTGTATCCCCAGCACCTAGTACTGTGCCTCAATAAATGTATCTGAAGGATGAATTTTCCAGATGATGAAACCAGGGCACAGAGAGATTCAGTAACTGGCTCACAGCCCCTCCACCAGGTAAAGAACAGCCTCCCATTTGAAACTAGGCAGTCCAGCACTGGAGCTCACATTTCTCATCATCAAGAATTCTACAGTTATCACAGTTGAAAAAACAGAATCTATAATCATCTTAAAGAAAGGATCTAGAATAACACGAGGGACTGTTGAAAGGCAGATTTGCTGGCCGATGTTCTCCACAGCTGCTGCTAGAGGACAGTGTGATTCCGGCAGCACCAGCTTAATTTTCTCAGAAATATAGGAACAGTGCTATTTATAGAAAGAATAACTTTGTAATCGAGAAAACAACTTACCAGATGATGGTACTGCTCTGGAGAGAAAATCTGTAATAGTCAGGGTACAGGCTATCCTATAAATAGAACAGCTCCAAAAACAATAAAACATCCTTGGTTATAAGTTGCAGAGTGGGGCTGACTTGGGTGTGTGAATGGCTGTTTTTCACATGGAATCCTCAGACCTAGGTTATCATCATGATGTTGAATCATTTTCTCTCAGATGTTTTTTCTTTTGCATCCTGCATTGTTGAAGAAGATTCATCTCGCACTTTGTGCATGTTCAGCTGTGTATTTTCATGTAGAACTAACATTTCCCTGCTTTTCTCTTACGGATGTCTCTTAAAGAATAATTGAAATTATTTCAGTGGATACAGTAGTATTCTGACCACCCTTGCCTCATCAGTTTGAAATCCTGATTTGAATGGTAGAAGGCGAAAGTGAGCCAGGAACACTGAAAAACCTTTCGGCTCTGTAAGAGATGCATATTTAGAAACTTTTGAAGAAGATTATTCTTTCTAACAGAAAATTCTTCCCCAGTAATCGTACACACAAAGTACTTTTAGGGTCCTGTGGCTTGGAACTCTTGAGTTTTATATAACATAAAATGTGATCTACGACATAAACAGTTACATGTATCTGAAACAAGTTTTTCTCTTTTTTTAAATAAAATTTGCATTTAGATTCCGGTATCAAACATTTGCGTTTTCCAATAGAAAAAGTGAAATCCAAGTTATACAGACTATCAACAGTATATGTATATCTATGAATATTGAATATGGGTCAGTATAAACATATTCAGAGGTATAAATATGATATATTTCATCTATGTTTTGAAAAATGCTGCATTGAGTGACTGATTAACAATTTAATTGGAAATACTGTATGATACATGTAAAAACTATTAATTAAAATGAAGGCATTTACTTTAATTGATGTGAACATTGGAAAATGAACTGACATCTAACTTTCTTGTCGGTCTCACTCAATGCGAAGATTATACCTTTCTTCTGAAATAATTTTGCTTAAACATATTTTTCATTGCCTCTTTTCCTCTCTGTTCCTGAGAATGTAAGGTTGTGGATACAGGAAGCAAAGTTTTGAGAGGGTCCCTAGGAGTAACAGTGAGAGGTGCCACCACCATTCCTACCCCTTGCTCCTGGACCCATTGGCCCTGGCTCTCGGAGAAACAGCCCCGTACACTGGATGCTGACTCAGAGCATTACATCCTGTAGTCACGGTCTTTACTTAAAAATGCCCAAGAAGAAGAGACTAACAATCTAAAATTATTTTTATCATAACTTCTTGTTGTAGAGATAACTTACATTATTCTTAAATTGTTTCAATTTAATATTTAGCATGAAAATTAGAATGAGTTAATAAACCAATTTTTCTGATACACTCTTATCATTGCCTCTTTTACATCTTTGTTTCTGAACTGTAAATGATGGTCTATAGCATGAAAATCACAATGGTGCGAAACACTGACACTGTCACGTCATGGTCCAAAGCACAGGCAAAACTTGGTCTCACATACATCAGGAGGATTGTTCCATGATAAATTGTCACTCCAGTTACGTGAGAGCCACACATAGAATAGACTTTTCTCCTCCCATCAGTGGAATGAATCTTCAGGATGGCCAACAGAATGAAGCCATAGGAGATCAGCACGCTCAGCATAGTGACTGTCTCAGTGGTGCCCTCAAAGTAGAGGAGTAGAAGCTGGTTTGTGTGAGTGTCTGAGCAAGAAAGAGCGAGGAGAGGAGGGATGTCACAGCAGACGTATCTGATCTCATTGGATGCAGAGAAGGAGAGGCTAAATGTGGCCACTGTGTGTACAGAGCATGCAAGATGCCACCAACATAGGAGGCAATGATAGGGAACACACCGCCTCTGGGTGACATGCTCTCTGAACACAGGAGAGCAGTGCAGACAGCTACAGGGCGATCATCTCTCACTGCCACCAAGAGGAAGCACCGTGTGGTACCACAAGCAACAAGGAGAAGCATGTGTGCTGCACATCCAAGGAATGACATGGCTTTATACTTTGACACAAAATCTGCTAATGTATCTGGGGTAATGACTGAGGAGAAGCAGACACCAGGAGATGAGAGCACACTCAGAAAACAGGACCTGGTGTTGTGGAACCGGGAATCCCCAATGACGTATAAAGCCAAAGCCAAATTTCCCTACATAATACAGAGGTAGATGGCTGAAAACAGGAGGAACAAGCTTTCTGCAATTCAAGCTTATCTGTGAAGCCCTTCAGTATAAATATATGACTCCAGAGACATTCTGCATGCTTATACCTCATGAGAGAAGAGTGAAGATATTCATAGAATATACAAAATATCTATGAAACTTGTCTTACAATTTTAATATGCTTGCATTTTATTTTATTTTATTCTATAGAATATAAAAGGAGAAGAGAAAGACCTTTTAATCATGAAATGAGGATTGAATACTGAATATACAGTGTAACAACTACGCAAATCTGTAAGTCCGGAAAAAGCATTATATCAACACAACATAATAATAGGGAGACATTCATCAAAATACGGCAAGTTTTGATTTGTTTTCATTTTGTTCCTTTAGTTTTGTTATATTATTTTATTCTAATGAACATATTTGCTCCTATGACACTATCACTCTTTTCATATAAAATGTTTCCTTATGAAAAATGTATCATTTCATTCCCAGTGGTTTCAGTTGCAAAGCAATGGAGATATTTTTTCCAGAAATAGCTTCTTCACCTTTCCAGTCAAAATATTAGGGCCTCACAAAGGAGGACAGAGCCACCAGGCCCTCCCTCCACTGTGTGGCCTCTAAGGGAAAGGCAACCAGTTCCTGGAAACCTCACAGAGCTGCAATTAGTACTTGAACCTGTGTCCTTGGAAACATGCCACGCAAAACAGACCAAGCAATCCTCCTTGGGAATTGATCCCCACAGAAGACGGAATATTGCATGTACCCGCAAAACATGAGGGGCTGTAGAATTACCAGCATGAGAGGTAAGGCCACTCGGCTCTCCTTAGGATCACAGGAGCTCCCTGAGGTTCTTTTGCATCAAATTTTCCATTTGACCAGGATCTGAATGAAAGTTCTAAGTTGATTTGTTTTTACCTCAGAATAAAGGGTAAAAAGTGAATAATGTATTATTCAACACAAATAAAATGCAAAATGAATGCACTAACATTTAAGCAGCACTTTTCTCAAGGAAAACAAATGTTAAACTACAGAGTTTGGACTCAAATGCTTTTCAAGTTTAATTCATGAGTAACATGTGAGGTTGACAAATTTCTAGACTGACATTATTGGAATAAGGATTTTTTTTCCTACCAACTCTGGATCACAGTAAGTATTATTCTCAAGATTTTAGTTAAGATAAAATAAAATGGGGACATTATACGAAGACTATGCAAATCCATATCATTTAGACCTTATCTGGAGTAACACCAGGATTTGTTAATGAGAAAACAGAGTTCCTGGAAACAGGATCTACAAGTAACGTGCATATATTAGAAATATAATATTTGTAATGAATTTGACTTTGAATGGTCAAGGTAGGAAAACATCTTATTCTATGAAATTAATATTAATATGTGGTCCATGGTTTTAACACACTCTAGTAAAGTCGCCTAGCTTGAAATTTCTTTGTCATGCATAGTGGAAACAAAGTGATGTTGAATAATGCCCTAAAACTCTTTTTCCATCATTGTTCACCTCTCATTATATTTATAACATATTTTCTCACATTTGCTGAAATTAAATGTAAACAAAAATACAGTTTTATGAAAATGCTCTCTGGAGTCGGTCTATGTTGGCAGAACCATGGCCAGCATTTAATAGCTCTGACTCTGAATTAGTTGCTTAAACTGGACACTTTTTCTCATCCAAACAATGTGGCTATGGTGGCACCTTCCACATAACACTCTCATGTGGACCAAATACATTACTGAACACACACATTTACAACAGTGTCGGACTCATTCAAACTATGCCATAGTTAGCTATTATTATGTCAGATCTAAATATCAGTTTATCCCATTCCTATATATGGCTGTGAAACTAACATTTTTTTCAGTTATATTCTCTACACTTATCATTATCATCACTTCTTAACACATGACACTAAAGTAAATATGCCATGTTGTTCACACAGTCTCAAGCCTTTCTGAAGTCATTGCTGCTAATGAGCTCAAACCAGCTGACCACTATGGGCGGAAGGAACACCACGCAGGTGGCGGACTTCATCCTTCTGGGGCTGACGGACTCCCCGGAGGTGCAGCTGGTCCTCTTCCTGCTGTTCCTGCTGATGTACCTGCTCACAGTGCTGGGGAACGCAGGCATGTTCCTGGCGATCCGCCTGGACGTTCGGCTTCACACCCCCATGTATTTCTTCCTCAGTCACTTGTCCTTTCTCGACCTCATTTACTCAACCGTTATCACACCTAAAACCTTGGAGAACTTACTGGCTTCCACCAAATATATTTCCTATATGAGCTGCTTCACCCAGATGTACTTTTTTGTCTTCCTGAGTGCCACTGAATGTTTTCTTCTCTCCTCAATGGCCTATGATCGCTACGTAGCCATCTGTAACCCCCTCCGCTACCCTGACATTATGTCCACAAGGCTCTGCTGCTCCCTCATATTGGGGTCCTACTTCATTGGATTTATGGATTCTATTGTCAATGTGCTTTTCGTGAGCAGCTTGCATTTCTGCGACTCCAATGTAATCCATCACTTTTTCTGTGACGTATCCCCAGTTTTAGCCCTGTCTTGCACTGACACATATGATGTCCAAATGATGATATTCATTGGTGCTGGTTCCACTCTCCTGGTGTCTCTTATCACAATATCTGCATCCTATGTGTCTATTCTGTCTACCATCCTGAAAATTACTTCCACTTCAGGGAAGCGGAAAGCCTTCTCTACTTGTGCCTCTCATCTCCTGGGAGTCACCATCTTTTATGGTACTCTGATGTTCACTTATTTAAAACCAAGTAAGTTCTACTCTTTGGGAAAGGATCAAGTAGCTTCTGTGTTTTACACAATCATGATCCCCATGCTGAATCCACTCATTTATAGTCTTAGGAACAAAGAAGTGAAAAATGCTCTTACTAGAATCATGCAGAAGAGAGAGGACTCCAGGCAAGTAAAGTACCAATGAAGTTAAACTTCTAAGATAATTTTTTTTCTTCTCTTTGGTGTATTTACTTGTTCTCTTTCCAGAAACAATTAAATTCTTTGATTTGTTTGTTTTTTGTTCAATTATCCTCTACTTTACCAAATATGATCTTGGACTTTTCTAGGAATACCTCTTTACAAACCTACATTGTAATTGCAATCTGTTAACTGTGTTCTAAAATATGGTCTAAGTATATGTGTTTTTAAGGGCAACTGATGCTCAAAGTAAGTAAATACAATTGTCATCTTTTAACCTATATCGTACAACATCTAACACATAGTCTCACTTCAGAGATTTTATTAAGGAAAAGTGCTTCGTTTTTGAAACAATAATAACAGTTTCAAAATTGTTTCATTCATTATATATAGAAGATATAACATAGTTATGACAAGCACTTACTGTGTATCCAAACGTTCCAGGACTTAGATTCTAGATCTGTTACCCTTTTAGCTGTATAACCTCTATTAACTCCTGAAATGTAAGCCTACGTTTTGTCAACTGCACAAAATAAATAGTAATTCCAGGTCCACAGTGTTGTTTTAAGGATTACATCAGATAATGGATGTTAAGCATTTAAAGTGATACTGATAAATACTGGCCATGATCATTAGCAGACACTTTTCTGCAAAATTTTTAATCCACAGGATTTTTTCTTAAAGAATATTTACTTGCTTTTTGTAAATTCCTTTTGACATTGGGACATGTCCAAGATTAATTTGACTGGCAAATGCACAATAGCTAAGGAAAATATAGCACTTCATAATTGTGGATTTAGAATGGTATGTGTTTGCACTGGAGAGATTTGGAAAATACTGAAACAATTAAGAATTAGACATGCCTTCACAGTTACTAGTGGTTTAGTATATGTTTTTCTAGATGTACAATGATGTGTGTATGTGAATGTCCTACAAATATGAGGAACATTTATTTCATTTTCTATGTACGTTTTTGCAGCTTTTTGCATACATTTACAAGTTTAACCTTTGATAATTTTGTTGTTGAATCCTGAGATGAATGTGTTCTTGGCACATTGGAAATATCAGGATTCATCTTGCCATGCTTGGACCTGAATGCTGCAAATTCATCAACTTAAAAGTCTCTTAAGCAGAAATACCTCTTTGGTGGCTACAGGCTGAAGATTTTACAACCTTTTTTTCTGTTGTGTCAACAGGCTTCAGTAAACTGCTTTTGTTGAAATTCTGTGTATGTTTAAAAATCATTACCTTTGTCCTGATTTCTAAGGGTTTGTTATGACCATTACAAAATAAATACTTGAAAAATGTGCTTGACTCATTTGTTTTAAAAATTTTAACAGATACAAGTTGTAAATCTAAGACTTAACAATGAATTCAGATTTTGTTACAACCTGTAAACTTTAGTCAGGTAGCATGCTGAAATTTCTCTTAAAATTTTCCTCTACATAATCTGGGATTGCAGTTTTAATTTTCTTTGCTTTTAAATTTGTTGAAACCATATTTTTCCATTTTCTAAGTCTGTGGATTTCTTTTGTTTGTTTGTTTCATCTGTTTTAACCAGATAGATTTCCTCAAGCACTGATGGAATAAAATTTTCACTTTTAAAATTTTATATGGTTTTCATTGTGGAAGTATATTTGACTATTCTTTAAATACTTTTAAATGTTTAAAATAAAGTAAACTGTCAAAACTGCCAACACTCATATCTTTGAAAAATGAATTATATTCTTCCAGTTTCTATGTTTTAAAATTTCCTTGATCATATGTCAATGCCATTTAAAAATATTATGACTTATTTTCCCTTTGTTATCCACATTGTGTGGACTCCACATACATAGCTACTACTATTTGTTTTGTCTGAAATTTAAGGTTTGTATCTGACCAATGTTTATGGTCTAATAATGTGGTTTTTTGGCTCATATCTTCCTGTATACACATGATGTCATTTTAAGTATTTTCAGGCTCTTTTCATTTTTTAGGTCATGTTTATAAACTGCATTTTCAGTGTGCTTTCATTTATGTCTATTTGTATGATTAGAAAATATATTCTGTTGGTTCACATTGGAAAAGATGGTCAACACATTCCATAATTATAAGTACACAGGTAAATAGTAATTAAATTCAATCAAATTTTAGATATAGTAAGACAATGAAATAAAATTAAATAAGTTATAATTACATTAAAATTAATGAATATACTTTATACTATAATTTATAGAGCATGTAAATAATGTTATAACATATGTTATATAATCTAGGGACAATATGAAAGATGTCAATGACTTGCTTTGGCCTGTAATTTCCCCATTATACTAGTGAGTGTAATATTTCATGTAAGATGCAGTGTGATGTAATTTAGGATATATACTTCTTGATTATGGTGCAAAGCCAAAATGCTCTTTCATATAGACATGAAAACAGATTAAGACTTGAATAGAGCATGGTTAAAATGTGAACAGCCATGTTTACTCCAAACAGTTGATATATACAGTAATGCCATATTTTGTAGGGTGCTTACCAAGTGCCAGGAAATATTCAAAGGGCTTCAGATATATCATAAACATAGTTTATCTTCAGAATATAATGTTCATGGAGAACTAGCAATACCCACATGTTAATCTCACATTATGGAAAGAGATCTTTCTCCTTGTTCAGGTAGACTGAAGAATGATCCCGGATTTCTCCTTCTATCAAACATGCCAGCCAATAGGCATGTTATGTTAAACACAGAATCTGTCGGTAGTCTGACTACTTCTCTGCTCTTTCTCTGCTGCCACTCTGGCCCTCGATCCATCATCTCAGTCCTGGAATTAGCGCTGCAGTTTCCTAGCTTGTCTCTCTTTGTGACCTTGTCCCTCTGACTCTGATCTCAGTGTAAGAGCCGGAGCGGCAGTGTCATGCGGTGTGCTGGGGCCTGTTGCTCTTCACACATCCTACAAGACTTCCCATCACACTCAGAGTAAAAGCCAAAACTTGACAAGAGCCCCCTGGTCCAAAACTATCTGAACGCCACTCCTGAGCCCTAATAACTCATTTCTCACTATTCTGTCAACTTCATTTTGCTTCACCACTTGGCCTCCAGACGCTTCCTGTACACGTTAGTCCTGATGCTGCCTGAGATGTTTTCCATTCTCTCCTCTTCATTCTATGCCTTCCTTTTGTTGATAACTGCATGCTGTTTTTCTTATTTTCTTCTGAGAACATTCCTTACTGCCTTATTTTAAATTGTACCTGTCCCATCCACATTCCACGTTTGTTTCCCTTTACAGGTAATTGCACCTAACATTTTGAGGATTTAGCTTGTGTCTTTGTTTCTTCTCTGCCCCTGCCCCCCATCATGTGAGCTCTGTGAACACAGGATTTTCACTTTGCTCAGTGTTGTATCCCCAGCACCTAGTACTGTGCCTCAATAAATGTATCTGAAGGATGAATTTTCTAGATGATGAAACCAGGGCACAGAGAGATTCAGTAACTGGCTCACAGCCCCTCCACCAGGTAAAGAACAGCCTCCCATTTGAAACTAGGCAGTCCAGCACTGGAGCTCACATTTCTCATCATCAAGAATTCTACTGTTATCACAGTTGAAAAACAGAATCTATAATCATCTTAAAGAAAGGATCTAGAAGAACACGAGGGACTGTTGAAAGGCAGATTTGCTGGCCGATATTCTCCACAGCTGCTGCTAGAGGACAGTGTGATTCTGGCAGCACCAGCTTAATTTTTTCAGAAATATAGGAACAGTGCTGTTTATAGAAAGAATTAACTTTGTAATCGAGAAAACAACTTACCAGATGATGGTACTTCTCTGGAGAGAAAATCTGTAATAGTCAGGGTACAGGCTCTCCTATAAATAGAACAGCTCCAAAAACAATAAAACATCCTTGGTTATAAGTTGCAGAGTGGGGCTGACTTGGGTGTGTGAATGGCTGTTTTTCACATGGAATCCTCAGACCTAGGTTATCATCATGATGTTGAATCATTTTCTCTCGGATGTTTTTTCTTTTGCATTCTGCATTGTTGAAGAAGATTCATCTCGCACTTTGTGCATGTTCAGCTGTGTTTTTTCATGTAGAACTAACATTTCCCTGCTTTTCTCTTACTGATGTCTCTTAAAGAATAATTGAAATTATCTCAGTGGATACAGTAGTATTCTGACCACCCTTGCCTCATCAGTTTGAAATCCTGATTTGAATGGTAGAAGGCGAAAGTGAGCCAGGAACACTGAAAAACCTTTCGGCTTTGTAAGAGATGCATATTTAGAAACTTTTGAAGAAGATTATTCTTTCTAACAGAAAGTTCTTCCCCAGTAATCGTACACACAAAGTACTTTTAGGGTCCTGTGGCTTGGAACTCTTGAGTTTTATATAACATAAAATGTGATCTACGACATAAACAGTTACATGTATCTGAAACAAGTTTTTCTCTTTTTTAAATAAAATTTGCATTTAGATTCCAGTATCAAACATTTGCATTTTCCAATAGAAAAAGTGAAATCCAAGTTATACAGACTATCAACAGTATACGTATATCTATGAATATTGAATATGTGTCAGTATAAACATATTCAGAGGTATAAATATGATATATTTCATCTATGTTTTGAAAAATGCTGCATTGAGGGACTGATTGACAATTTAATTGGAAATACTGTATGATACATGTAAAAACTATTAATTAAAATGAAGGCATTTACTTTAATTGATGTGAACATTGGAAAATGAAGTGACATCTAACTTTCTTGTCGGTCTCACTCAATGCGAAGATTATACCTTTCTTCTGAAATAATTTTGCTTAAACATATTNATTAAAACGAAGACATTTACTTTTCTTGATCTGAACATTGAAAAATGAAATGACATCCAACTTTCTTTTTGGTCTCACTCAATGTGAAGATTATACCTTTCTTATGAAATAATTTTTCTTACACATATTTTTCATTGCCTCTTTGTCTCTTTATTCCTGAAGATGTAAGGTTGTGGATACAGGAAGCAAAAAATTTTGAGTGGG